GAGGAGGGGGCGGGCCTGGCCTTTCCCGGACGTGCCAGGTCGGGCTCTGGCCGACGGCGTGGTCAGTCAGCCGACCCTGGCCTGTCTTTAGCCGGGGAACTGCGTCCTTCGGCCCTGCCAGCTGCCTCCCAGAGTCACCGCCCCGTGACCAGCAGGATGGGCGCAGAGGACTCGGCACCTCTGGACCGCGGGAACGTGCTTTGCCGTGGCGGAAGGAGGGGTGGGGAGGACAGAACTGAGGATATGAGGTCCTCCAGCGGGTGTGTGCACTTCAGCTTCATTCCCACGGATGGAGTTCTACACCGGGGATGCAGTCCTGGGAGCTGGAATCATTGCCCCGTTTTACGGATGAGGAGACTGAAACTCACGGAGGTGAATTTACAGTAGGAAGTGGAGGTTCTCAAAAGCCTGCCCAACACCAGTCTTTCCTCCCCTGCAGCCTGTCCTCCTGCCTCTGCAGCAGCCGGACACGCCTCTGGAGGGTGAACCAGATTAAGGGGGTTGCGCCCGGGACCCAATACCTGTTTGTCTTACGCAACAAATGCTTGTATTGCGGTTGCCATGTGCCCGGCCCTGTTCTAAGCGCGTTGCAAATATTAACTCATGGAATCCTCACAATGACCCCACAGGGTAGATGAGGGTCAGTGTCCACATTTTACAGATGAAGAAAGCACGGAGAGGGAAGCACCTGGCGCCACAGCTCGGAAGTGGCGGAACTGGGATGTGAGCCTGGCCAGTCAGACTTAAAGCAGGCATTGCCCTGGCAGCCTGGTCTGTGGATGGTGGGCTCTGGAGAGTGATGGGGTCTGTGGGCGATGGGGGTCCTTGGATCATGGGGGTCTGTGCGGGGAAGGGGTGTTTTGGCGGAGGCCTGGATTCCTGGGTTCCACACACTCCCAGCAGGAGGACATGCCAGGCAGGTCAGCACAAGCTCCCTCTTCACCCTCATCACTGTGGCAGCCTCGGAGGGCCCCACCCTCTGAGGGGGAGGGTCTCCCGCCTCTAGCCAAGGCACTGTCTGGGGTGTGGGAAGGCGTGTCTCACTCTGGGTCCTGGAATGCCAGAAACCAGGGAAGGAAGTGGGTGGGCGGGAGAGCGGCCAGGAGATAAGGCGGGTGGAGGGGCGGCTGGGAAGGCCAGCCCTGTGGGCGGGAATGGCCTCCTTGGGGGCAGGGAGTCCTCCCCTCCCTGGGGGGAGCAGAGACCAAAGGCCCAGCGGGTGAAAAGCTTCCTGACAGTCCTCAGTGCCGCTCAGCTGTGGTGGGCAGGGGCAGCCACCGAGGGCAGTGGGCTTCTCTTTCCTGGAAGCCCACGTGACGTCGACCACCTGATGCTGCAGACGGCATTCATGAATTGGACGAGAGATACCCTTCCAGCTCCACTATTCCAAGAATCTGAGTTGGCATGAGGAAAAACTCTGGAATATTCTGAAATGCCGCTGATTCCACCATTTCAGCATTTGGCTTGACCTAACTCTGCAAGGAATCTGGACATCCTCTTTTGGCTCTAACTGGCTGAGGAGGAGGGATGGGGGCTGAGATCCCCCCATCGGAGACAGACAAGCCTATGATGAAGGGGGTCTTGGAGCAGAGTCCGACGTGATGACTCTGTCCCCCAAGAGCCACGCAGCTAAGGCAGCAGAGTGGGCGTGATGGGTGGGTTCAGAAGATAGTGCTGCCTTGCGGTGTGACCTTGGGCCTGTCACTTGCCTTCTCTGGCCTGAGTGTCTCCATCTGTGCCAAGGCACTCTCTCGGGGTCAACCCAGATCAGGCATTCACCATCCTCCTACTCGCCCTCCATCCCTCCCCACCCCATTCAGGTAGGGGTGGTCAGGCTGGAGACAGGGCCGTTTGTCAGTCATGGAAAGATTGTGAGGCCCAGTGGGTGGAGTCCCAGGCAGGGCAACCAGCAGAGGGCAACACAAGAGCATGGTGTCCCGGCCTCTGGGCCCAGCATCTCCAGGTCGAGGCCGCCCTCAGACCATCCCCAGGTCAGATGCCCCCTGCGACTCAGACCCAGAGAGTCAGGCTGCCCGTCCCCCCACCCGCTGGGGGAAGGGCACGCAGCCCACAGAGGTGGACTCTGTCCAAGCTCACACGGTGAGCTCCAGGCAGACACTGAGCCAGGGTCCTGCTTGGCCATCTGTCTTCGCTTCATGACTATGTTGGGGACCAGAGAGGTGTGCCGAGAGGACTCTGCACACCCGCCTGTGGGTGGCCCTCCTGCATGTCGCTGCAGGGCAGGGTCTGGGTAGGAGTTCACCTTCTCCACAAGTTCCCTGCCCAGCTCAGAGGACCGTCACACCAGGGGCCCGGGCTTCCCGAGCCGGGCCGTCTTCTCAGCCTCCCCCAGCTCAGGACCCAGGCTGGGAGGGCCTAGGTCACCAGGGCTCCTCAGGAATGCACCACAGGGAGCAGTGCCCGGCAGAGGCCGCCTTCCCTGACCCTGAGGAAGAGGCCCCACCTCTCTGAGTGTGGCTGCCTCTGCATCTCGCACACACACACTGAGACGCCCTGACCCACTCGGGTGCGCATCGTGGGACAGACCCGGGCGAGAGCCTCCCCCCTCCTCCCTCATGGTCCCCACACTGCCGGCTTTTCTCCCCTCCCCTCGGGGCCCTGTGGCCGGATGGACCCTCGCTCCTTCTCTCCGTTGTGTGACGGGTTCCGGGTTGGGGTTCTGTGGACAGGGTGGGGAGGGGCCCACAGCGGGCCAGGCATTCTCCCAGCCCCCCTCACCCGCGGGTCCCCCTCCACGCCAGCTCTGAGTCTGTGGGAACCAGACAGTTCTGGCTGTCCAGCCGGGCTCGCTTCCTCTCAGGCCCCGGGGGACCGGCAGAGGGAGGAGGGAGCCGAAGGGCTGAAGTCAGCGTGACCGCCTGCCCGAGGGAGTCCTCTGGGGGGACCAGGCTGCCTGTTCCAGCTCCCGAGTGTCACCTTGCGGGACAGAAGACCCTCCAGGCCCCATAATAAAGACCAGACTGTGGGTGCCCGGCATCCCGGCCCCTCTCTCTCCTCTCCCAGGTGGGAAGATTGAGCCCCCAGGGAAGTCTCTACCCCTCCAGTCTGGGGGTTGCAGGGACATGAGGTTTCAGGTTCTCATGTCTGTTTCTCAGATGGTGGCCACAAGTATGCACCTTCCATGCAAGGGGGTAGCTCGAGAAGATCAAAGGCCACAGTCACCAGAGAACAGTTTTCTCAAAGGGTCACTAGAGACCTGGGAGAGCTGGGGTGCATGAGAGGTCCCAGTCAGCATGGGGAGTCTCAGAAAAGGGTAGGCCTTTTGACCTTGGGCGCCTGTCTGCACCGTGGGGAAGGGGCAGTTCTTTAGCCTGGCATTCCAGGATTCCAGCAAAGCCTCCTCCCTCAGGGTCCCCAGTAGCCCTGCCTGGACCCTTCTCTCCATCCCCGTGTCCCATTCAGGCTGTAGGTTGGGGCCTGGTGGGCAGAGACACGCAGCACAGCTTGCTTTCCTCTCTGCCCCTCATCAGCCATCTGGAGTTGGAGCCAGGGAGCCCCAGACCCTCGAGCCTCAGTTCCACCGCTGTAAATGGAACCACATGCCACATCACACAGGGGAGATGACACACACAAGCCCAGGACTGGACAGGTACCGTAAGTGGTCACGATTGTGATGACTGCTGGTAATGGCGGGCGTCAGTCACAGCTTTGGGACTGGACATTCAGCCCCGCGGGCCAGCTCAGCCTCACCCCTGCCCGGTCTCTCTCTTGGTGGCACCCCTCCTCTCCCTGCCACCCTTCCCTGCCTCCCCTTCCTGGGATCCCCCGAGAAAGTCCCAGGAGAAGAAAGCCTCACGTGAGACAGTCCCATCTGGGGTCTCACTCCTGCCAACCAGCCCACAGCCACTGCCGTCCCGCAGAGCCAGACGTCCTGGCCCTCCGTCCCCAGGCATCCAGCAGGCTGACCCTCGCCGTCACACTGGCTTTATTGGCCCTGAGTGCCACAGAGGAGATCCCAAGGACCCCGCGTCCCCTCGCCCCCGAGTTTGTCCGGAGTCCGTGGGCGCCTGGCAGGGCCCTTACTGCTTCAGGCCTGGCTTTCCGTCGCGGCTGGCCCCGGCGTGTGGGGCTGGGTCCTTGGAGAGCTCTCCAGGAGCCTGAAAGGCAGTTGGCAGGGGCCTCGCCCAGACGGCCCAAGGCGGGACTGCCTTCACTCAAAGAAGAACATTCCTGGCGTTCGGTAGAGGCAGGGGGCCAGCCCCAGTGGGCAGCCGGAGCCTCCCTGGACAGGGAAGCCACCTGCAACCCAGGGCTCCTTGGGGTCGGCTGGCAGGGGCAGCGGGGCCCGGAGGGAGGCTGGAGGGGCAGGGGGGACAGAGGAGGGGGCAGCTGAGGCCATGAGGTGCTCAAGGCCTGGGTCGGCCCCCAGGCAGAAATTCAGCGCCTGCAGGCGGCACTGGTAGTTGCTCCCGATGCCCGCCTCCGGGGTCAAGACGGGCGTAGGGGCTTTGTGAAAACTCTCAGCCTCAGAGAAGCCAGCAGGAAAGCCAAACGCTGGGCATGGGGAGGCCGAGGTGGCCACGGGGATCTCCCCTGGGCCCGCAGGCTTGGGCGCAGAACTCTCTTTGGGCTCCCCGGGCAGCTGAGGCCTGGCATCCGTGGTGGCCGGGCACATGCTGGCTGGCGGGGCCCCCGCCAGACCTCCAAAGCCTAGGCTCTTAGGGTCTGGCAGCTCCGGCGGGAATGGGCATGGCCTGCGG